AAAWWAAAAAAAATTTTATTTGATAAAAAAATGTTTGGATGAATTCAAAATAGCCTGTTTGTGAATCTGATTTTTAGAACAATTTTGATGGTAAAAAGATTAATTTAAATTAAGTAGCTTATATTTTTAAATTTAATATTTTTTGGTTAAATTAATTTGGAACGTAATAAATTTTTAAATAATATGATTTTTGAGAATTTGCTTACATGAGTATATTTCTTAAGTTATTTACTTTTATTGTATTAACAATTTTTGTCGTATGTTTAATTAGCATAATTTTATTTTTTTGTTCAGGTCTTTCTGTTACACCCTTATATATTTTACCTACATCTTACCCTATGCACAAATATTGCTTTTTAGGGGATGTCATTATCTCATTCTATTTGACATTTAGTGTTTTTATGTCATATTCTATTTGTATTTGTTTATACGATACAACTTCTATGTATGAAGTCTCATGATCAACAAAAAAAAATAAATAATGTGTTATAGAGAAATTTGATAATTTTAATCAAACATACTTAATTCTAATTTGGTTTGGTTATCAGAAATATTTAGTTAAATATAACATTTTGTTTAAAGAAAGTTTTGCTATATTTTGAATATCAATGCCATATTATATTATCAAAGCATTTAAAATGTTTTGGTTAGATAATTATAATGTATTCATTGTATTCTTGATAATCTTGGCATCATCAGTAATCTAATCAATCAAAATTAAGAATTCAGTATCAGCTAATTCAATTTATCTTCCGATAGTATTTTTATWACTAAATTTTCAACTAAAATTATTAACTAGTTAATCTAATGACTAAATCACATTATTGTAGAGATCAGAAAATGTGTCATTAATATCACGTTCATTATTTAGTCTACTATTAATAAGTTTGCTGTTTTTTTCTTATTTAATTTAGTCCTTGGGTAATTTTTATCAAATTTTACTAAATAACTGATCTTTAAGCTATTATTATTGTAACTGGTAATATGAGCATAACCAATGCATAATGCTATAGAATAATTAGGCTATATTAGCATAAACGCCATCTAGATTATTGCTAAGGATTTTTTGTAAGAATTATATTGATAGGTGAATTATCTTTGTGGATTTTTGGTGCAACAACCAGACAAATCATATTGTTAAATACAAAGATTCAAGATAGATTAGGTTAGGTTACCTATTTATTATATAAATGGAGATGACTTGTTATAGCACTAAAAATATTTAATTTATTATGARTTTGTAGGTAGTAGGTACACAATACATTTTWTAGGTAATTAATTAAACATCTTCAAGTTTTATTTTTTGGTTTTGAGATTATACTTTTTTTTTTTTAATCTAGATTTTATACAATCTGTACATAAAAAAAAAGTACAATAAGTGATGTTATTTTTTAAAATTATATATATTAGCTTGAGTGTCTTGAGGGAAGAACTAACCAACTTYGGCGTGAATTTACAAATTATTTAGGATTTTTTTTTTTAGTTTAATTTATAAGATCTCGAGGCCATTGTCGCTTGAATCTTCTAGGGAGTTCTCCAGGGGTGGAGATGGATAGTAATTTTTTAACATGACTGTTAGTGTGATTATGAAGGCGATTTCTGAATTTAGAATAAAATAGCTTGGCTGTTTCAGTGACTTTAGGAATATGGAGATCAGTATGAAGGGTGTGATTAGAGATATAAGGAAGAGCATTAGTTATGAGTCTGATGATTTTAGATTGGAACACTTGTATTTTTTGAATATTCGATTTTTTGGCAGTGCCCCAGACCTATGAATACCGTATAACCTTATTGGCTTAAGGAGGAGATTGTAGATGTGAATTTTGGTTGTGAGGGATAGTTTTGAGAACTTACCAAGGATAGGTCTGAGAGAATAGAGTCGTTTGTTTAATTTTATTTTTGTTGTGTGAATGTGTTTAGCCCACGTTAGACGTTTGTCGAAAATTAGACCTATGTATTTGGCTGTGTCAGAATTTGGTATAGATTTGTTGTTTATATGTACTGAGGAAGGTTGGCTGTGGCGGAGAGCAAAGGTAGTGTGTACAGATTTGCTTTCGTTWATTTTGACGCGCCAGAGAGAGTACCAGTGTGATAGGTCATTCAGGTGATTTTGGAGAGAGGTTGAAACTAAGCCCGCGTCGGTGTGGGATGAGTATATTACTTTGTCGTCAGCGTATTCGGCAATTTGAGTATTCGGATTTGTGGGCTAATCTGCCGAGTACAAGTTAAATAGAGTTAGGTTAGGTTATTATATTGTTATAGATGTTTAAGATATTATAT